ATGTAAGCTTACATAGAATATCATYATACACTCACTTGATTCCCTTGGACCAGACGTGTTTGTTGAGACGAGTGTCGATACGTACGTCAGGAGTACCCATCATTTTCTCGGCGAATTTACGGATTTCTTTGATTGCACGAGGTGCACGGTACTTGAAACCACTAAATACAATAATACAAATAGAATCAACACAAACTTGTTGCAAATGCTTCCAACAATTGGACATATAAAATTATCTCTGCTTGGATTTTTCTCCAACCAAAGCTCATATGAGTTAGCCACAAGATTTTAATGATCTTGAACGATAGGATGTATAGCTTTCTTGATCTATTATTTTGTTATTATATAAGTAATAAGGCGAACATACACTCCATGGATTCGCTTGTGAATGTTTATCGTGTATTCACGAGTGACGACTTCATTGATGGCAGAGCGCCCTTTCTTTTTGTCTGTCTTTTTCACCATCTACATACATATAAAGAGGAAGGGTTAAAGTTTTATTTTGATAAATAGAAGTACACAAATAACCAAGAATTAGCTTTGGATGACTTGGATTGTAACTACAATTTTTCCTATTTCACAAACCTTGAAAGAGAAGTCGAGGAAGAGAACGGTATTGCGCACGCGCGTGGAATTATGGAAGCTAGTCCCCAGTCCACCAACTATGGGAAAACTCCGAAAAAATAAACGGCATGAAAAGTGGAAAATAAATAAATAAATAACACTTTTTCGTTTCAGAAATAGATCCTATTCGAACATTGTAGACCTGTATAGTCTATATATTGTAATTTCAGTAATTTACATTTAGGGCAAGACCCGCAGGGCACTATTTCATACTAACGATGCGTAATTGTTTTACAGACATTCCTACAAAAATCTAAATTATCTTTCAGGAAAAGGGAAGGGAGAAGTGTACTTTGAAAAACTGGCTGTTCAAGCCTCCTTGTTCTGGAAATGTCACTGCGGAACCCAAATCGTTGATCAGTGAYGTGTAAAAAGAACATTGTCTTGTGCCATGTCACCGAGTTTTGGAGTACCTTCTATTTTTAGAGCGGATTTTCAGTATTATGGATGCTAWAAAATGTTGTGCCAATCGGAACGAATCTAATAATAGATGATCTGTCGAAAACGCTGGCTCATGATAGCGTACGTTATCAGTCGGTTGTCATTGGCATCTGGCTTTTGACGTCTTTGTTTTTATATCAGGATTCCGCATTCATGGCAGCATTAGAATTCTTCGGCCAAGTATGTTATTAGCTACATTGAACAATCGTTATGCATGCACAGAACATAGAAGTTCGTTCCCACAGGACGCGCATCCATTCTTGTATTCAGATTTCGGTTAATGGTCCGGTTGTGTGCGCATAACAWTAACTGCARSTGTTTTGTCCACAGCTAGTTAGTTACTTACTATGGTTTTGTCTCACTATTTACATACTATAAAACGGTGTATTTAACTTTCCGTTTCTCTCTTTATTTTTTGTAGTGTTGATAATAATCGCAGGGGAAGTTGAGCTGACCGTTTTAGGGTAATTATATCGTAATAATGCGTGATCACACCTGCACATAATTGAAAGACCTTTCTGGCAGTAGTTTCTGCAAAACTTTCCCTATATGGCTTATAACAGAAGCTTAAAACTGAATCATGCACAATTTGAAGGTCGATCTACAACCGACAAACGTGCGTTTAACATATGTTTATGCAACTTATCTACGTCATTGTCTACAACTGAATCAGATCTTGTAGGGGTAACTAATTGACCGATTTCATGTTCTTCCCACTACTGCATGGCGACGGCGGACCCAAAGCTCGATTAATGGTAATCCAGGTTTAAGTCCATAGGTTTTTTAAGATTTAACCGAGGCTTAGCTGTACAAATCGAGCTTTGGGCCAGTGTTAAATACTCTTCTGATGTATAAGAAATTAGACCATGTTATAACGAGTAAGGCCGCAATAACTGCACTAGCAGGCGCGTAGCGTGGTCTTTCTGGCTAGTACGCACATGTCAAGGACTGCGACACATATTTTGGATTGGAGAGGCTAACGACCACCGAAGGCGGGAGTATTAGGGGGGTCTGGTGGTTCTCCCCCTGGAAATTTTGAAATGATAACTCTTGGAAATGCGATTTCCAGCGTTTTAAGGGGCATCGAGAGCATAAAGGCATCATATTTATTATATGTGAAGGTTCTTTTTGATAACGAAGCCTTGGTGCGAGAAGGCACCCGAAATTTTAATGTTTCCTTTCCACTAGTACGCACGTGCGTAAATGCGTAAAGGACGCTTCGTGCCTGACTAGAATGTTCTTTGCCAGTACCCTATTTCTTAGTTTTAATCATAGTTATTTTTGAATATACTATTATTTCCCATTCTTCCGTAATAAGTACGTCACTAAATTGGTGTAGAACGTGCGCTGTATTCAACGYGCAAATATCACGAATCACCTTGGCGAAGTTTTCCCTGTTTATTTTTCCAAACGAATGCACTCGTATATCAACTTCCTTTGGCCTGGTTCCCCGTATATTCAAATGTTATATACAAATKACAGCAACCTCTGTTTAGCATGGCTTTCTTAAATGTTTTTCATTCGTCATGATAATTTCATTGCATATTTGCAATTGAATACCTTAAACCTCTTTCATTCTTCATCATAGTTTGTTCCGCGCATAATAGATCGAAAGGGACTCTGGGTAATTTAACCTAAAACTAATTTGACCAGTGTGACGAATTCAAATTCTGTTCAAGGACAACTAAGTCACAATAAGTTAAAATTGTTAAGAAATGATCACCCTATTCTGTCTATTCTTGAAAGATTTCTATGAACTAAGGACTTTTTTAGACCAGACTGACCAGCGTGGCACTTACTGAAGGTTGAATCAATAATCACTTTTTTGGCAAGATTATTTAAAGCAAATGTTTTGACAAAATTAAGTATATAGACACATACGTATCTTTGAGGAAGTATAGAAAAAATTGATTGGGTAGTCGTGAAGAAACTTATTCTGTGCAACTGCGCATGATCAAGGAAATACTCAGTTTAACACATATCTATAGAATATAGCATTCAGATAGTCTGAAGCATTCTAGATGTTGTCCTTTTCATATATATACATATTTTTCAGAAATTCCTATGCTTGACTACAAATCTTTCTTACCCCAAGATACACCTGCACGAACCTGCACGGATCCATACACCGGAAGTCCAAAAACCCCAAAAAAACATTTATGGACTTATTACCCCTATAGGCTTACGGCTGGTGGATGCATTAGACGAAAATGTACTGTAATTATATTTGTTTTTGTATCCAACGACTCTAGGCACTTTCTTATTATGCAGTGATTTTAACCTCTAAATTTCCTTGCAGCGGAAGTTGACTTTTTATGTTCCGGGACAACACAATTTGAATGGAGAAAATCATCTTCAATTCTATGCATGCTGAAATTCAGAAAAMATGCATAGTAGCTAAAGAAAATGTATTTGGAATAAAAATACGAAATATTTCTAAAAAAAATCGTGTACCAGTTCATGAGCTAAATATTTTTTGGATATCACTTCCAGTAGACTCAGTATATTGGACCACAAGAGAAGTTCTTACCACAGGATGTCGAATAGCTCGGTTCATGTGTTTTTAAAACGAGAAAAACACTTTTAAAAAGTGATGCAGAGTAGACCAACCTCATTTACAGCAAAAGCTCCTATCCTTTGGACGTAATCCAGAGCAAGTCAGTATCATTGAAGATGCAACTGTGTTTAAAACCTGAGTGAGCTATTAGCAACAACGACCTAGCATGAAGAATTACTTTGTATCACACATTCATCATCTCCAAAGGTATGACTTWAATCAAAATTTCTGTCTAAATAAACTTATATCAATAACTATAGTAATAACCGAATTATTTATCTGCTTAATTCAGTTGTTATCAGTTGTTAATAGTGATGCATCGGACTCACTATTGAAGAACTCGTTTCGGAGTTTGCTTACCATTTGTCTGCGGTACAGTTACTTGGATCGATTTTGTAAGCTATACCTGCTGYCGATTGCATTTTAATAAAGTAGACCAGACCTTTTTAGAAAGGTTTTTATATTGCCTCTCAACGAACAAGCACATATTTTTGATATAACTGTATAGGTAGTTATTATATGAACTTCGAGGACTGTCCCCAAATTTGAACGCCGTGTGCCAAACTTCTCCAGAAAAGTTTCGAAAACAAAATCTTTTATGCATGTTTTATGGGAAAGAAAGAAAAACATCTACTGATATACGCTGGAATAAAAGCAATGTAGAGAATATTTAGGATAAATAACTAAATGGTAATCATTTTTGTTGCGMAAATCGAAGTTCCACTGAAGACCATGCTCTACGATAGACTGAAGTATCATCATGATTTGAAAACAAACAATTAACACAATATATCAGTTCTTTTTTTCCGTTGCAAAAAACCGAGTGGAGAGGTAGTAAGGTTTCATTCGGCTTCATTACTAGAGCTGGTTTGTTTAAATAGTTCCTGATACTGTTATAAACTAGAGCAATACACTGAATTGGGTGCACCAACAATTATTCGATCCAAATATGTATTTACTGATAGGTCTAAATGTTATTGATCTTAAGTCAGTGCATGACCTATTGTATATYATTGTACACCATAATGAAGATAATCAATAAGTTTTAGAGACTGCTAGTAATTGGAAACATCGATCGTTATGAAACAGTCTATTGGAATCATTCAACATGACTGTAATGGTCACATCAGAATTCAACACTTCTGGATCCAAGCGGGATMTTGAACATTATTTTCACGTGTCGCTTACATTTTGCTATAGACAATTCAGGTTTATAAGAACTTTATAATGTATTTTGCGGCAGGTGGACAAGAACTTACATAACTGACTCTATTTCTTACTGTACGAAGCCCTCTGAGAGAACTATAGGAATATTTACAGCCTCGTGAATACACTACATCAATGCATAGCCATAAAAGTATTGAGAAAGAGCAAAAAATAATAATAATATTTTTCTTGGAGCACTTAGCGAAATATTTCTTTATAATTATAGAGCTAAGAGTTGATCCATACAACTTGAAGAGAAAAATCCCTAGCAAGTGCAGAAAGTCGGGTATATTGGCTCAGAAAAGAAAAGTTGCTGATGCAAGWGCTARAAGWTAATTGGCTAGTGCRGAGAGACACCCTTTCCACGTAAGATGGACAGTTTRAATAACAAACCAGCAATAATCGAAAACAGTAACAGCAAAGAGCWATCCCAACGMTGATAATGCGATATGTTGCCACAGTCAAAAAGAATTCATCRACTGKGAGAAGTGYGCAAATCAGAATTTGAGCAAARGATTCCAGACCARAGGTATATAAGTAACTCCCAAGACTGAAGCAGGTAGAGATTCCCGTGCAAAGCGACAGCAAGATTCCCAAGCAGCAAGATCTACAGAAAAGCAGCAAGATTATCCCAGACARCAAGATCCAAAAAGCAGCAAGACTTTCCAAGCAACACGCAAGATGTCACATCAAGAACCAGTGCTCACAATGCAACATCTGATGGAATGCAGCCCCTTCCAAACTCCTCCAAACCAAGTTCACAACGTTCCGAATCACCTTACAGAACCCTCTAATGAAATTCCTAACTATTGCAACCTTGAAAACAGAACTAGCGGAACTCTTTTAAACAACGCTTGGCCCTTTTCCGCTAATGTAGGTGCACCAAATATTTCGCACTACTTCAATATGTCTATGAAATATATTCCCGAATGGACAAGTTCTTCCCAAGAGGATGACTACATCCATAACAGCAGTGACTTTTTAAACCTTGAAATGAAACGCGAGACAGGTGCTTCCTTGTCTTTTCATTCAGCGCTYCCATTTGACAGTGCAACGGTTCAGTTCAAAGATGAAAGTACTGGGGATCAAGGTCTATACTCARATCACAAGTCTCAAGAGCAATACAATCACCTTTCGAGACGACCTAACGCTGGAGGTCTGCCCCAGCCCGTGGACTACACTCAAGCGATTCCTAATGTTCRAAGAAATTTGACTAGTACCACAGACGTTTCATCTACCTATTTAGACTTGTTGCTCAGTACAGACTCGGTGCAGACAGTTTCAAGCGCATCGAGTCAAGTTTTTAAGATCCCTGAGCGACCTTCCCAATGGATGAAAAACCACTTAGACTCCCAAACAAAACGGACGCACACATCAAACCACTCAAAATTTCCTTCAAATAGAAATAAAGCACCATTAARTAGAACAATTGATAACACAGTCCTAAATTACAGAAGGAAAACGACATTAAGCAATGAAAAATGCAGCAAAATAACAAAACAGAGACTTTTGCAGCACTTGAGGCTAAAACGAAAATCCAGCACAGGAGGATTTCATAGGAAGTCACCAGCAGGTGCAGTCAAAGCAAAGATCTACAAACAAAACCAAAACACACAGCAAAACAGGCAAAATCTACCACAGACTAGGAGTAGTCTAACTGAATTTCTTAATAATATGGAGCCAACTCCTCAGGCTAYCCCCGTGGARACAGTGTTTGACTTCGACAGCGTAGAGTATTCGATAAGAATCGTTGAACACTTCATCAACATGTATCAMAAAAAGGGTAAGTTTACATTTTATTATCAGTTTTTACTTTATGTTTAAGATTTCGCTCCGGATGGGATTGGTAAAACAACTAAGTTCGTAGATGCRCAAAGATAAAAACATGATACGAATATGCATGTAACAACTCATTCGCATTAATTAATATAATTAGTTATTACGGAAGATTTTTTAATATCTATTTTTATTTAAATCTTTGACTAGACAACATGATCATTTGCCAAGGTCAGTATACCTTATATTTCACTTTATCACATTCAATGTCATTCAAATACTGAACCAGTGCGGCTAATTTTGATATCAAGGTAAACATTTTTTTTTTATTTTGACTTTGAAAGCCCTACATGACGTCATTGTCAATCGAGTATAATAGCGTTGATTCAAAATACATTTTTAACATTCTGTACTTTCATTCACTTTGTATCTGAGTTAACCTATAATTAATGAGAAATTGAAATACGATTTTTTTTTTTTTCAATCTCAAAAGTTTCCTTGAGCTTAGCTTGTGTTATTTCCATTGATATCTCTCATACTTGAGAGTGCTTCTCGTTGATTCTCGCAAAAGACCCATGCAGATCTATATACTTAGAGTAAACATGCCACCAAACGCTAATCGCTGTATGAGTAATTATTGTGAAGCACGTTGTTATTTTGAAAGTTTGCACTAAATTTCAAGTCGTTTTGTTTTTCTTCTGTTTTGTTCAAATTACAACATTTGGTTCATGTGAAATATAAATATTGTAAACAGATAAACTTTCTGTCGGGTGACTGAATTCTTTGCATCAATGAGTACCGCGAAAAACTTTCGATTGATTCTATACCTAAAACTAAATATCTTCATATATGTGTACTATTGAACAGTTATAGCTACATCATGTGACCTCAGAAATTAATTGGACTGAGGTAAAAAATAATACTGCATAAAAAATGATTATGACTATTAAAAAATACATTTGTTCGATGAAAGTAAGTAATTATTATTGACCATTAGAAAAGGACGTAAATGACTTAAAAAAAAAGTTGGTTCAAAAATGTTTTAGCTTAATAAGAATAAAAGCCTTTAGGAGGCAATAAAAAGAAAAAAAAAGAAAACTAACATATTTTAGCTGGGTATATTAGTAAAATTAGCTGTTATATGGATATGTTCATGGATGGCAGGCCTCTAAATGTTCGAAACGTAGTTTCTGTCGCTGGTAGCAACGTCTTCCATTATACTAAAAGTGCGACATATCTGAATCCGTATTTCCCCGACTCTATCTATTTATAAACATACAGCTGCAGAATATAAAGTTTATTTTGGTCGCGGAAAATGTTTACTACGCACGAATATTAACCATGCATCGTCATAACATTAATGATTTGTTTACATGATATTTTATTCATTTGCAGAATTCTGTATCATCTTGAAAGATAATTTCAGTGTTTCAGTCACTAGTAAAACATTTCCAAACCCTCTTTCATTTGTCAATACAATTTTTATATTATTTTTCATTTTTCAGTTTCTTTTCATCTCAAGAGCTGATTGTAAAATGCGTTTTCTTTCCGTAGATTTTAATAGAAACTACTAACTGAGATATGCTGAAAATTTATAAGAAACTTGAAGAATGATTTTTCATAGTGAAAATTTAAAATATATATATTTAACAAAGGCCTTTTATTTGAGTTTCATGCCATGAGCAAATACAGTTTCACGATATCATGCAAATTGTAATTACACACTTTTTTTTACTTTTTTATCGCTCCATTTGAATCGAAGGATTATGAAAACAAGGGGATATTTTGGACCATTATGTCATTTGATATGCAGTATCAATGCAATGCCTTAGCCACAGGGGAATTTTCTGACGTCAAAACCAACCAATCAAATAGCGTGATGAACAGTCTACATATATGGTTAGACCAACTAMTCAGGTTTTATATGACGAGTTCGTCGCCTGGTAAGATCGAGTTGAAAACTGGTTTTACAAGTTTAATGYAGGTCTGCTGCAACTACAACGAGAAACGATTAACTAACTTTATAGCAGCTATAGATGGAAGGCCTTGAGCTTTGGACAGTGAAGTTAGGTATGTTTGTAATKGGTTTTGCTTTGCGAAATCTTCAGACCATGCTTTCCTATTTCTAACCTTTGGTTTGATCTGCAAAGCTTGTGCTTGTAAAGCTCAAAACTAACCTCAAATCGATCTATCGGATGTACCCTTGTACTAATACCACTGTAGGTCTTCCAGTCTGCTCTTTTCCATTCATTTTGAGCGARATGTATTAGTAAAGAGGAATCGATGGTCAGACGACTGTAATTTGAGTGCCTTGGACGCCACAATCGAGTCCTGTCGCATCTAATATCGGAATGTTTTCAGATGGRAAATTGTGTTTGCGTAGGATGTTTCAAAAAGAYCGTGTAGGAATAATAGATCTAGAAAAATAACAAACATTTCAAGTTTTATTTGTTTCCTTGTAGTGACCCTAGCAGAGATATTTCTTGATCCAGTAGTTTTAAAGCGGTTGGCCGAAAATTCTAGAGTACTTACAAACTGTGAAATTATTATGAAACTTTAACACCTCCAACAAAACACTTTCGCGTATTAGCCACTGTCCGTATATTAAAATGAACGTATTCTAAGTGAAATCAAATGGGATTCAAGTTTCTTCTATCAACTGGAAACACAGTTTTTGTTTATTTTGGAAAACTGCGGTTTAAACCAGTGCCAATATTTCGTCTCGATGCATGTCTTTATTTTCAATTTGTATGGTACGCATTTGATAGAATGGATTTGAATTCAATCGATTGTAGATCAAAATCTCCATTGTTTTATTGTGTTGCCTGCCGCGGTTTGCAAGACTTAGCCCCCAAACACCATATTGTCTACTTGTACTTGGAAGCGATCTCGAGTGTATATTCTCTATTTAAACTATTTCGAAAGCGAGACACAAGAGCTAGGCTTTACTGTTTTAGGTATGTTTAGCTGTATATGTGCCAAAAAAGGGATAAACTATGTATTTTGAGCCGTCGGTCTTCGACACTTTGTACTTCCTCAGTTCAGGTGTCATTTATTTATATCCAAAAAAAAATCACAATTTTACACTATTTGTTGATTTGATGAAGCCAAGCGACATTTGAGTGCACTTCCCAGGATTTAGTCTACTTAGACGGAAATGTGTTTCAYAATAAGTAATGGATCGCTAAAAATCGGACACATCTGTTGTCTCATATTCTTGACATTTCATTGTCTGGTTTTGTACAATTTTATCATGTTCAGATCGGAGCGGGTATTTTTAGCTTTGGTTGGTTTTGTATGACAGTTGTCAAGGAAATACCGCARGGAAWCTCGGGAGAATTACCTAATATAGTGTGTAGCTCCGCCTATCTGTCAAAATAAACCAATCAAAAGTGGAGGAGTGTCATACATGTCCCATGTTACAACGTGGTCGCTCATTCGTCGCTCAACCACCGTCGAGAAAGGAGTTTTGTCGATAWTTTCTATGATAAGCTTGATTTGAGTGGCGTTTTTTGCATCCTTTTCAACGGAATWCGRACTATTTCCTCTCRAAAAGACCGCAGCATAAGACTAACCTTATTTGAGTCACTTTTTGAGGAAAATGACATTGGATTTTAGCGAAAAAGGCTCGTTTTCAGGTAGGAGTTAACGAAGGCATTTCGGTTGTCAAACAATAATGGGATTTTGGCGGCAAGCTGTTTTCTCTTTAATTACATGCTCTTAGTGCATTCTTTTGGGAAAATTTTTTCTTGTAGTTCAACCAGTAAAAGTAGCCCTACATGTTTTTGGAAGTTGTTCTTTTCTAAGTTTTGGTTGCTATTTAGCGCTTGCTTGTCCCGTCCGTTTTTGAATAAATTTGAACAGTTGGTTTTAAGAGCTCAATGCTACGACACCACAGTTGTCAAATATCTATTTTGATTGCAAACAATACTACAGTTATTTATGARTTTCTGTTCTTTGATTKTGCTCGAAAGAGACGGTGAAATTGTAGACAAAACGTTGAGGTGATAACTCGTTTCGCAATGTGAAAGATTGTCCACAAASCAGAGGTGCTGCCTAAAGATTTTGAATGCTTTCATGAATAAAATGTTATTTCAGAGATTTGTAGTGCTTTGAGAGCACTGCGTGAGAGTGAAACACGTCAAAATGGTATTTTAATATCTGGGATGATATTTTTAAAGTGCAAAAATTTTCTCGATGACATATGGACATTGTAAAAAGGTCTGCACTTAGAATATCAAATTCCTGTCTATTAAGTATGGGTTTTATTGTTTCAGAATCCAATCCAACCACTGAAACAACCGCAAATGTGATGGTCGATCCCCCTCTGAACAACAATGGTAAGATTTTCCTACCTGAATCAATCGGAAAAAAAAAAATCTTTTAAGATTTAATATTGTGACGTTATTGAATGCTCATTGAATGCGATGCTTGACTTGTCTTAAATCTATACTGTATTCACTCGTTCTTTCTCTATGTTGTCTTGTGTTTTCTGTTTAGAAATTGCTCATGGTTTTATTGCAGAAATGGCCATGAGCAGTGAGGACTTTGACCATTTGCTCTTTGATCACCCCATAAGTAAGACAATGCARGAATCATTTTGTGTGCCCATGAATGTTGAAACCCAACTTACAACTACTGGCTTCCAGCAAGAATCTAATGACAATGGCTTCTGTGATGATCAAACCATGATTTCAACTGATACAGAATTTGAAAGTGTCCCAACCTCACCATCACTCTCATCTACATTCTTTTCKCATTCTCCCTCTTCTGAGTCKGGCATTGAAGATGACCAAGATGACGACAACAGCAAATTGGAGAGCTTTGAGACATTTACTGATCTTTCAAACCATGGAGAGCAGACATTCCCTACACTTYCAGTACAARCACARCCTGCTGCTCCATCCAGTATTTCAGATGCATATGAAGAACTGAAACACCTCTTGTACACTGTGGTAACCACCAATGCCACTTCCTTACCAACAGTACCTAACACTATMAACACCAGTTTGGTGACCAGCATGGTCAATATTCCTGTATCTTCGGATTTAACTAGGGAATGTTCCAGTGCTCAGGCAGGTGTATCTCAAAATACCACTGTTACAGCATCTAATGCCAGCAGCGGAAAACTCACCTCAATACCTGCTGATTCAAAAACCAATTTAAAGTGTGTAAGGCGGACAAGAAGACAAAGAGACAAACCCAAACTTGTCATCCTTGACGAACCAGAAGAGGTATTTATTTATTTTCTTATTGATATTATTTGTTTTTTGAGTACACAATTTATTCAATATTTTTATGATCTAAATGTTTTGTATCTACAGAACTATAGAGCAAGATATGAAAGTGAAGGATGTAGAGGGCCTATTCATGGCTCTAGTGAGAGCACATACCCCACTATCAAAGTARGTCTTTTTTGATGAATAATTCTCTATTTGCCTGGAAACCCTGCTGATTCACCACTAGACAATAAATGTATGCATGTAGCATGGGGTAATTTAAAATTGCACAATGTAGATTCTATTTCTCTCTAAAGAAGAAAATTCTATGCCCTAAAGCTAGCAGTAGCTCAGCAAGAGAGATCCTCGTAGCAGCATCCTCTTAAAGGACTATCCCAGTTTTGATACCCATTTGACCTTTTACATAATATTAAGCAATCTATCCTGCAACTCATGATTACAATCAATCATATCTATGCTGCAGCTATAGAGAACTCTATGTAAGCATCTTGTTGATGATTTATACTTTATTAGCCTKGGCACCCTGCTGATTGCAAACCTTACAAGCAATTTCTCTCCACAGAAGAAAATTGTATGCTCAAAAACTACTAGTAGCTCAGCAAAAGAGAGCCTTCTAGCCATAGGACTATCCCAGCTTTGATATTTACTTGACCTTATTACGTAATATTAAACAATCTATTCTGCACCTTATGGTATGATWTCAATCAATCATCTCCATGCTGTAGCCCTAGTGAACCCTGTGTCTAGTAGTCTAACTGTTTCACCCATGAACAATACATTTGTGCAAGATGGACTTTGAACTGCTCAACATAATCATGTAGACATAACTGACATGTCACAATGTTYCTGTCTAGGTGTCTGGTTACAGTGGACCWGTGTGGATTACAGTGTATCTTACAACAAGTTCAGGATTGCCTCATTACCATTCTATTCATGGCCCAGGATCTACTAAAGTCCCTTGTAAGGAGATCACATTACCAGGGGGTATWCCTGCTGTACAATTAATGGTAGACCCAGACTCTAAAATGACTGCTGTGTAAGTTATTGAGTAATATTGTATATGRTTATTCTTTATTATTCAGGCATTTGAATTATTTTCCCAAAGCATGGAAAGAATCTTGATCATGTACATATTTCAAAATTGATTATTATTTTGATATAGATAATATTTGAATGTTTATTAATCATAGTGATATTGATCAAATAGTAGAAGCAAATGTACAAATTTTGTACTTTTGAAAGGGAATATATTTTTAAGACAACAAATGCATTTAGCCTGWGTGATTATCTTCTACAAGTTCAAATTTTTGCTTATATAAAGTTATTTGTTTTGTTCGCTATTWTGTTTGTTGATGATGATTGTCTTTCACAGTATGGATTCTCTGAGTATAAGAAGACTCAGAAATTGGGAAGGAGATAAGGAGCTCAAAAAGAGAGGCATTGACCCCAGAACATGGAAAAGAGAGCGTAAAGAGGCAAGGTTATTATTCCAGGCTGAAATACCAGGGGAAGATGGCCAGCCTGATATAAAATTAACCTGTAAATCCAGAATCTTCCAGTGCAGTTCTTGTAAGTGCTTGCTACATTATGTACGATAATATTTGTACAATGTACATAATTATATAAAGTCTTAAACTATCGGTGAATTATTTATAATATGGCAAGCTTGAATGTATTTTCATTATTATTTCCAGCTGGGCCTACTGGAAGTCCTGAAATATGGTGGACTAGTAGAACAGAGGGTTCTGTAGAAGGCAAAGAGGAAATGGGCCTAATTGGTAAAAAATTTCCATCAGGTAAGGAATTAATCTCTTTTGTTAACTTGAATTTTATGGCTTTTCAGCCATGAAAATGAACAACAAAAGCTTTTGTACTAAARTATCCATAATTACCTAATGAATATACATGTATCTAGTGGTGAGACTAGTCTGCTGAATTCATTATTGTTTTTGTAATCTTTGAATAAATCTGTGAAAGCATTTACATTATAGTCCAGTCAYATTGGTATTTCAATGCATACAGCTGTAGTAACAATAGTCCATTTGTATAATGGCATTTGCTTGTTGATATTCATTATAGTGTAATTGTATGCCTTGTCATAAGTACAAAACCCTCTATTGTAATTACTTAATGSGCTGGCTTTACTTAAAGGAAAATTGCTTTTAATAATAGAATATGTATGAAGAAATATCCATGCTTTCCATTGCTTGACTGTTATCAAGATTATTATATAGATATTTGTGGCATACAGGTGTTAGTTGTTTATCTAAATGGGTTGTAGTCAATGTTTTTCTTTATTATTATAGATGTGAAAGTGAGATTCTATGCAAACCTTTCTTCTGGTAAGTCATCTGTGTCTGACATTTACTCTAGACAAGCAAAAGTGTATATAGTAATACAATTCATTTTCAAAAGTGCTTCTTCAAATAGGACTTTGAAATTATTTTGGGCTTTGTTAGTTTTGGCTGATAGTGTGTGGTATTCATATGATATGAACCAAGAATACCAACCAATCAACTTATTTCAAGATGCACTTTATTATTCAAAAGAATCCATGGTAACATTTTGTTATGGAGGAAAAAACAAACACTTGAGYTGACACAACGAAGCAAATTTAATTTCTTATCTACGATGTTTTAGTGAATGTGGTGATAAAAAAGATGAATGATAAAGAGAGATGATTGAAAAAAAGGTTAATTTGTGAGACGTTTGCTATGGGTTCTTTTACATGATAATTTCATTAACCTTTTCTGTCCAAGTAACATTTCTCAGGTTTTTCCATCGGTAGGACTCTATGTTATAGAAACTAGTGTTTTGGTTGAATAACAAAAGCATTGAAAAGATGATTGCTTGATATTTTGCATGCCAAAATCCTCAAGAATTTCACTCRAGTTCAGTAGAACCAACTGAAAGGGCTACATTCAAGATAATTTTCCATTCCAAGAATTTCTCATTGTCCTGTGATATTGGCTCATATTTAAACATTCGCTACAAGTTTCTCAAATAAAACTTATTCAAATTTATTCAACACTTGAGGCATGTTACTTTGAATCAGTGTTTTGTTTATGTTCATTACTTGTACTGATGTTGCTTGCTTGCAATAAATGAAGTGTGAAAGCAAAGATAGATTGTAAAAAAATACCCCAAAAAACTTGACTTGAAGTTAATGATGTTTATAAATCTCATTGATGAAAGGCAATGTCATTGTTTAAAAAGAAAACAAAATCAAGGTCTTTATTGTGAGCAAGCATTTCATCATGGTCGGGTTATACTTGAGTTGATGTGTTGCAGAGAGGTGGTTCAGTGAGGGGACATGGGGAGGGGGTGAAGTTGTTAACATTCCTTGCAGTTGCACTTACAGAGTTGGCACTGCATTGAGACCACAATGGACATTGCTCACAAATTAAACACAATCGGAACCAGGAAAGGAATTTCAGTTCAGCTGGGCCAAGCCTTGTTGCTTTCCCATCTAAGGCAAAAATCGTTTATTCTTTTTTATGATTGTTCATAAAACATAGGATCGTATTATTTTATGTTGTGTACAGTATGACGTTAACACCTCTAGGGATCTTAATGTGCAGTTAATTTCATTGCTTTTTTGAACTTGCTTAAATCTGGTTGCTAAAGTCTAATACTACAACACTACATTAAGCAATTAAGTACATTTGTATGATTACAAGATTATTTTTACAAAGTRTTTCTAGATAAGGTATTTTTCAAGCAGAAGATGTCATCACAGGTTATTATAATTATGTCAAAGTCATAAATGTTGAGATACTTAAACAATTTTGGCCATAAAGATTTTTATAGTGTCGTCTACCAAAGTTCTGCATTGTGATTCCATTCAAGAARTATATCTATCTTTGATTTAATGTGTGAGCAATCCCTTGAGGTTATCTGTCATCTAGAGGACAAATTTTTCAACAGTATACCGTGGAAGGCAAATTCCGCATGAATTTTAACTTCACAACAGTGAGACAAACTTTGTCTTTTGATTGTACTTTGATCATGTCCGCATACCATAGAATGAGATACACCCATACAATATCATGCGAGGAAGTAGATGTTATATAGAGAGTTGGTTATTGTGTGAAAACACTTGATTTATACCAGTGACGTATGGGTTTAKTTATTCTATTGGTATCGACATTATCAGTATCTTGGACAATKCGAGCCTTTCAATGATGAATAGCTGTCATTTATACCACTCACGCATTGCTGTCATCATTATGGGCTATCATRTTGGTGTATACCATTAAGCCAAGTAAAGGTCCTTGATTTCTACAAGAAAATACTTTGAGTTGCATTATTTAATTGGCTGCTGTTTGGAGCTCTTTTGACATTTCCTTGGCTTTTGAATATAGTCGTGTCATTGTACCCAGAATTACAACACAATTGGTGAATAGTTATGTATGGAGAAGTATTTTTTTAGTTGGAGTGAGTGTCATTTAATTTTTCATTACGTTTGGTTACATTGGTGTTATAATTATCCTCTTTTTTTTTTGTAAGTTCTATCATTGTTGTAGTATGATAGTATTCACTGGTGTGTTGTAATCCTGGGCCATCGCAACAAACTACTGAGAGGGGATCCACTTGGGGAATTGGGACTAGTGCTATCAGTCTAGTTTTGGATGATATTCCAAGGGTACAACTGAAACAATTTTGCGGTTTATTTTATAGAAAAATTTTATCATTGGGATGATATGTTCCCTTGGTTTAGTATGCGTTTAATGTCTTGTAATGTATTTGTATGTTGTTTCTACCGATAGGTATTTAACCTGCTAACAAGGATTTCATAGTTCAAGTCCAAATCGGTTATTAAGGATTAACATATAACTTTCTACCATTTGAAGAACCTTGTTAATGTTTCTTAATTTTAATTACTATGAAATCTTGTTAGTGTTAATGTCAGTTGTCTAGATTAACTTAGTGAATGAAAGGATGAAAAGAATTCAGTTTCAAACGAAGGCATTTAYGAGTTTTTGATTTTCAAATTTGCATGCTTGATTTATGATTATTTTTAGTGCATTATTGTAGTCGCTTGTGAGAATTGTGTGTTAATTAAGAGTTATTATTGAGTGATGTTATATTGATGCCAAGGTTTGTACCTGCCTTTAACAGACCCTAACAATTAAAAGGTTGACTTTCAGTGTACTAACATCAAAACGCAGAAGAACAGTCACCTAATTGTAGGTACAAGACTTGACGTCTTGCATGTCAGTGTACCGTTTGTCAGTGTCAGCAGCACCATCCAATACTAGACCAATGTATTCAACCTAGGCTTACGCATGTAGTAGTTTAGTTCAAAATACATGACTAGCAAAGGTTGAATACATACTGTAGCACAATATATGTTAAGATAGTTACTAATTACAGCTTTATTTAGCAAGGGAAGTTTTACCATGAAAGTATGTTAAAATTGTACCTTGTTTGATTGCTACAGGTGAAACCTGGGAAAGTTTTGCTGAAGTTGACAAAAGCAAAACACACCAAGTAAGTTCTTTGTTTATTTGTTGTTGTTTTTTTTTTCATGTCAACTTTTCATGATTAATGGCTAGTGAGTTCAGTCATTTTTTCAAGTGAATTTGTTTCATATACTAAGATGTATTAACAGGGTTTGTGCTTCTCCTTGAAGTCCTGGAATTGAAAACTTGTTTTTTGATTGAAATTTGGCTATTTGGAAAATCGCCACTTGAAACATCTGCAAACATCAAAAAATATCTTCAAAACACTCCTTGAAAATCACATTTTTTATTAAAAAGTAACTTGAAAAGTCCTGAAATTTTGTAGTGAAAATGTAGCACAAACCCTGTATTAGACAATATTAAGGACAAAAATCTGTCTCGTTGTTTTAAGTGAAAGTGTTTAGTCTAAGATTAGTGTTGATATTGTTTCAGGGTGCAGCGGTTATTCTTACCCCACCATACAGTAACCAGGATATCCTTTTTCCTGTAAAAGTCAACATTGAACTTGTCAGTGGTAATGCCAAAAATGGAAAGTGCAGTGAGCCCATTGAGTTCACTTACAATCCCCGTCAGGAGATTTTGTCTGCTTCTGTGACTCCTAGTGGCCATAGCCTGGGTGGGATATTGGCTGGGCTTCCCGGGGGGTTCAACACTTGCACTACAACTATCCCACAGTCCTTTTCACCCTTGGTTAACATTCCACCATCACTTCCAAATGTCACTGCTATTGAGGCATCAACACTAATGAGTACGGTTTCTACTCCCATTGTACCACAGCAGAACAAAAAAGAGCCAGATGTTAATGGTAAGTCTATTGATTTCAAACTGTTTCTACAATGAACATCACTAAGTATTTATCCCTTTATTATAGACTGGCAAAGACTTTGTATTCAAATAAAAGAACTACAGCAGAAAGGTCTCTTAAATGCAAATCAGATCAAAGTATGTATGCTGTTTTCAAAATTGATTATTTGTTTATTTATTCATTGATGCTATTAGAGTGGTTTCCAATAGCCCTTGGAACAAAAGTGTGATAAGCAAAGCATAGTAATTAAAAGTATTATAAAATTCATAACTGCCATCAGCAGTAGACTACTGTCAACTAAAGTTCTTTAGAGCTATCTGCCGTTTCATTGTGAAAATGTTGATTGACAGATGCTAATTGCACATTGTGAATTTTGTTTGGGCTAGTCGTATAGCAATGCAAACAATGTTTAAAAGTGTACAATGCTAATGTGCATTTCACAGGTTGATGAAAACCACTCTACTTTTTGTCATAGATTGATGATGTCTGGTTTCCAAGGAAATAGCTCTGTGAATTTATATTTTTCCTGACACCTTTCAATAACTAGCCAATAAGATTGTCATGGTTCTGTCATAGCTTTTATCCTTGATTCGTATTGCATTTTGAAACCATGATACTTTCATAGATTTCTTCTTTTTTTCCTGGTATATTTTTGCTTTTTGTTTTCCATTTTATATTTAATTTGCTATTATCTGATATTATGTTTTTATCTTGCAGAATCTGTGTTCTTTTATCCAGAGAAAAGACTTGCTCCTTTTGCAGGCATTTCGGTCAGCCAATAATGCAGGTACACGAGAGGAGTGTCAGACAAAATTCAAACAGTATTTGATGGGTCTTGTTGGCAATGTCTAGCCATGGAGAATATAGTATCAATCAGTTATATCACTAAGTATACAAGACAGAGATACCTATAACCTAAATATACCAAATTATTTTCTAGACGAGAGCTAATTGGCTTGTATTTTGTAGGTCTGGTATACTTTTTGTAGTAGATTTGCTAGAAAGTGTATATTCASGTATTATTGAAGAGACACTCTGCATGTTGCAGTTTGCTTATATGGTACCAATATGGTCGATGTTAACTATTTACCATTAAAAATGGTTGTTGTAGCTCAGTTTTAGTTACAGGTTAACTATAGAGTGCCTTGATAGTTAATGTTAGGYATTCACCATTACAAATGGTTCATGATTGTAGCTCAGTTTAGTTACATTGTGTTTGGGTTTTCCCCTTGGATTCTGTTGCAAGGCTAATTATAAAGTACTTTGGTTGCTTTATCATTTGTCTTTTGACAGATCAAAAGGGGATCCAAACTTTCAGCAACTTTGCTATATGTCAGTGAAACTACGTAACTGGAAGCTCAACTGATGATTGTTGCCCTTTRAATGATTACATCTCCTGAATTGTATGAATTTGAAATGATTGTTTTGTCCCCTCCCCTTCCTGGTATGAAATCCTTATGGTTGGTCAGTGTTTTTCAAGTTATGTAGTTGCATTACTTGCTATTTATTATTAATGTAACTGACAGCAAGTTAGTAATTATACATATTATTATACAACAGAGTATATTGATAGATTAATTTATAAATTATCGATTTGCAACAAAATAAAGAAAACATTGTAAGACAACAAGTTGAACATTGTCAAAACTAAAAAAAAAAACTAAAAAAAACATACGATTAGACTATTGTGTCACATTATGTACACAACTGTAAGAGTTATGTATCAATAAATTATTGGTACGTTGATTTGATGTGTGATTATTGTAGAATAATGGTGATATGATTTTTAGTACTACGTGATTGTGTCGGTTCAAACATTAARCACAGGAAGCCTATTTTGCCAATTGGTTGATAGGTTATCATTGTAAGAGGGTTAGGGTTAATCAATGTCAAATAGAGGACAAATGTATGAATAAAATATGATTGTCAACGCTATGATGTGTGTRCTGTACCTGCATTACCAGTCGAGAGCTGGTCCCCGTACACAATGAATCGAACTAAGTCGAAACTCGTCCAATAGAAATAGCTAAAGTTTGYCCACTTTCCTTCTATCCCTTGAGTGCACTTTTGATTCAAAGGAGAACTCGTGCTTGTTACGTGAAGAAGTTTGAATAATTTGAAAAGGATTTAACGTAGCGCTATATTTCACTTGTTATGAAGTCATTTCTCTCTAGCGAACATAAATGTTACATTGAATAACCACGTGTACATAAGATTATATACATAATTTATAAAGCTTCAGTTCGGGTACATGAAAGCCTTCGATATTAAAGTACGCCCATGTACATACATATATGGAAGTCGTACAACAGACAGCTGAGAGTAACGAATTATATACATAATTTATAAAGCTTCAGTTCGGGTACATGAAAGCCTTCGATATTAAAGTACGCCCATGTACATACATATATGGAAGTCGTACAACAGACAGCTGAGAGTAACGAGCGAAAGAACTTTGGGCAGTACTAGTTTCTAAAAGATAGCTGAGCTTTCATAGTTTCTCTTTGGGCTTCCTGTGTTGATCTCGTACAGGTCGGTAAGGGGTGAAATCTGTAAGGCTTAGTAGTTAAGCTTGAGGGGAAATATATCGACATTAATTTATGGTCACGCGCGAAGGGCGGTGGCCGATGACAGTGATATATTGTCAGGAAGCGTATGTTGGGAGTTCTCCAATTTGAATCCTCAAATATGTTCCGCTTTAAATTGATGCAAAAAAAACATTGTGAAAGTCATCAGGAGACCATTAATGGTTCCTGATAACCCTAAGTATCTAACAGTAAACAAGGGTTATGAGGAAAATAATAGGAATAGTATATGAAGCAGAATATTGCAAGCGTTGTTCCATGATGTTGGACAGTCACTAGAAGATTATTCGTACTGCAGCCAGCTCCTAAATGCGATATGACAAGGAATGGGAAACATTGCCAAATCTGACGGATGYAGTACATGGGGCCACTCAATTTTTGATAGATGAGGGACGAAGTTTAAATCAGGGTTAAAATATTTGGTTGAAAAACGATCAAGAGTGAAAAAAATGTCRTATTATGTCACGATCCTGTCATAAACCTTTAATTTGGTGTCATTGCTGTCTGTTTGAATTTTTGTATCATGTTATCTGGACTTTGAAACAATAAATCAAGTATCTATGCCTTTATCTCAACTATCGTCAGTGAATTTATATTTTCAAATAGCTCTTGAAAATAATTAGTTCTGTGCCATATTGTCTAAGGTTTTCAAACAATAAATCAAATATCCAATGGCATATAAACTATCCATTGAGTGACACCCTATTACAGCACCACAGAAACTGGTAATTCATCTCGAGACGATGATGAAAAGTCATGTATGATCACCTTTTCTAGGTCCATGAATAACTTCGCSCCGCCGTATATATGAGAGGGGATCAATCCAGCCCGGCTCTAGTTGTGTACTTATCCCACTCTTTTTGAAGATAAAGATGAGATCATCTTAATTGAATCAGATAATCTGAATAAACCCTCTTGGAAAACCATCCTAAAACCGTTCTCGGGAATGCAGTCAATGCTACTAGACTAGCCAATAAGATGCAGGGCTTGCCATAAATAGCACACATGAAATGCTTTGGTAATACACTTCTATATTAAWGTTACTGTGATTGATGGTAATAATAGTTCATTTATAATATTACTAATGATGATAACAATGATGACTATAACAATAATGGATAATAATATTAATAGTCAATAATGAAGACAATATCTGTAATACGATAATAAGCAATTTCATGACCGACGCCTTTTTTGTGCATCGATATTTCTTGATTGCTATCATGAAGATGAAGCAGAAAAAAGCTGTGCGYGGCCCCTGTATCAGTATGTTGCAGGTCAGATATATATTTTGTTCATGACGATTAAACTTAACCTCTGTCTTAACTGAAAGGCGATTTCGCGATAAATTGATACATCGGCCTCTACATGTTCTGTTATTCGAGCTGTTTTCATTTTCAMGGCTTTTTCCATGTTTCTGCTGGAAAATCAATTATACATTCTGYAATTAATCGTGATTTGCCGAAAAGAAAATCGCGTCATTCGTGAAATTGTCTGTTAATATAAGGAACAGCTAAACTGGCTTGTGCCCTGGGGCTGTTTTTGATAAGAAAATAACACATGAATTGTAATTATTAACCTTCAAAACCAAGTCAAAACAAGCTAAAAACTCCTAATTAATTACGTAAAATGTTTCCTCCAAAGCCTAGAGCTTTTTATTTGCGTTATTACAAGTAAAGTGTGTGGTTGATGATTGTAACAGATGCGTGCTTCAATCTCTCGTTCATCTTTTAATTGCATATTATTTTCGTTATAAGCAACATCAAAAAAGTCAACACGAAAGTGAAGGTGAAAAGAGTGAGATACTATCGATAAATAAGTCACGCCGATGAAAACTAAACTCAGCAGCAACATTACTCGACATGGACTATGGCAGGCAGTGCCGGTCAGAACATCACAATCCCGGAACCATTTCTTTTATGTTTAGAGAGCAATGTAAAGTGYATTTGTTTTACGGTTATCTTATCAACAATCCTTAGTAAAAATAATATAAATAGTCCTGATGAACTGGATTTATAAACAAGCAAGAGTCACGATAATTTTCCMCACTTCTAGACAGAAAAAAACTGATTTTTCCAAACAGAAACTTTGTCTGATTCAACCACAAAAGGTTCTACATGGTGGTGCAAGGTTTTTAGAGAATGCTCTGGAATTTGGATTCCTGTGTTCAAAATAAAGCAAGCTTTCTTGTTTAAGGAGGCATTTTATCCGGTAAGTCTATGAAGCCTTTTCTTGTCTTTGTATCAACATGCAAACATGTGCAATAATGAAAGCCGGCAGATGGTAGCGGGTGGTTTGGAGTTGATTCCTTAGGGACAAATCCTAATGGACTAGCCGATTAATATATATTCCAATTAACCTAATATACTTATTGTTCTAGAAGCACTGCGGCTGCCTGTCAAGTACCTTGAATCTTTTGTTTGTCATGACGTTATGAATACCATTTCATACCCTCACCCTTCCGTTTTAACGAAGATAAAGAACAATGAATTACTGGATTAGTAAGAAGTACATCTAGCTTTAGATCTAAGAACTATTCTGTTTGGAGTTCACGCAACCGTTTTGTAAGCCTAGTTTCTGTGTGACAGTTGAAATCACAGAACAAATAAATCACTTTAAAATTTTATAGAACCTAGCAATTAACCAATAAATCAATCGTACTTGAAGGGCTGGTTGCTTCCGTCAAATAAACATGATAACATATTGGTTCGTTTATGGTGCATTTTTGTGTCAGATTTCCAACCACTAGATTTCAGAAGTCACTTCTTTCAAAATCAATTAGACTTACAAACCCATCTGTCAAAAGCCTGTAACTAACAACTGATGAATGACATTCTACATTACGAGCTACAGTCTTTCACACTCAGCAAAAGACACACATCATACAACTATTATAATTGAACATTGTTAAACACGATTAGTCTCTGTTKGCAGCAACACCGGAACAAACTACCAGAGAGATTGCAAAATCCGCTTCCATTCTTCTTTGACCGCGTTGACTCAGGTGGAAAGAGCGTGAAAACAAGACTTTATTGGACAACTTGCAAATTTTGGATGGCAAACCTGTTGTCGGCTCAGACACTCAATGTGTAAATTGAATCTTTTGTGTGTTGATCTGGTGATACAATAAACAAGTCATTGACCGCTCACCGGGCATTCAAAGCCTCAAGGTCCCAGCAGTACCGTGCTTGCTATAGTTTACCGTCTCAACGATTGTGATAACATCAATTTTGCTGAGGAAACTGGAACGTGAACATGTTGACCGTTTGCCTTGTGTTATTGATCTTTCTTCCTTTGAGGAACGCCATGGAGTCTGCTCAACTTGTTACAACACGGCCCGTACGCGTACCGTACGGTAGATCTGTGCGTATAAACCCGCAAACAAACCTCGTTCTTAAATACCCACCGAGATCCTACTGTAGAGTTGATGTTGTAAAGGATAATCCATTGTCACAACGTACTGGGTTCCTCGTTCCTGATGTCTTTTCTTGCAATTTCAAACACGGAGACGTTCTCTATACGCACCTGGGGTCGAAGTTTCACACATATGACATCGTCAAGCTACTGATTCGCGTCGACACTGAAAATGAGACACAAATCATTCCATTTCAGTTGAGAATCGCGGTGTTTTTCAGCCGAATGGATGTTGTAAGGAAGAATTTACCCATAGTGGTACCACGAGTCGGTGGTCTGTCGCCCAGCATTGGACAAGACGTTTTAAAGTTTGTTTATGATTCCGAGAGCCATTTTTGCCGTGTTTCAGTGCTTAGTTTTCGCAAGCCATTACCACGTTATGGGGATCTCTTAAATGTCACGACATCTAATTCTCATGGAACGCGATTTGACTGTGACGAATTYTTTTCTTCGGATATTCGATATCAACACAAGAAACTTAACTCACCAAATCGTGACTTCGTGTCCTTGGTTGTTGAGATTTTAGATAAAACGTTATCAGTCCGTAAAAGAGAGTATTTTCAAATTATAATCCGAATTCTTGGCGCGCGAGTCAATGACAGACCTACTGCATCGTTTCAAGCTTCAAATAGTTTAGAAGTTAAAGATCAATCGCTAGGTGCTGTGACGAGCAACATCCTTGCTGCTGTTGACTTAGAAACCAACGATGAAGAGATCATATTTAACGTAAGCAAACCACTGCAGGTA